AGAACTTCATAAATTTTAATTGGTCATAAAAGTATGCAACTTGATTTTTTCAAAAAAGTCAACAAACTGCAAGCACCTGCTAATAAAAGTCTTAAATAATTAAAAAAAGGAATCATATTTTTGTGGTATGACTTTGGGCAGCATCATGTGTATCAACCGAAGGCTAGTTTCAGGTCAGAAATTAGCATATGTGGCAACTTTTAATTATTGCTTTCCAGTTTTGGATACATTTAAATTGTTTGACAAATACAACCTAATGAGTGAAATAAGCAGGTTACATATTCGATGATTTTTTTCATTTTGTTATTGCTCCATGAATTTTAAAGCTTTCACTGGCTAGTCTTTTTATTTTATTTTATTTTTTTTTATTTTAGGGAAGGATCTACAGTGTGTTCAGGGTCTCACTACTAGATCGGACTCATAGTGATCCACCTGTTTATGGCAGGCCTGGGGATCGAACCCCCAGCCGCTGCACCTTTTTTCAGGTGCTTTAATCCACCGAGCTATCTGGCTGGCCTGGTCACTGCCTCGTCTTTATTCTGTCCTAAAAAATGCTTATCATTTTAGAATTTAAGTTATGTTCTAAGACGACCTCATAATGAACCAAAAAGTTGCTGGTCCAGCAATTTGAGCCATCTCTTCTGTGAATTCCAGCTCTGTACTCCTCCATCCATTGTCTCTGCCTTTTGTTTTTTTTTTTCCTATATTGGATATAAACTAGCTAATTTTACTCAAGTGAAATTTTTTATATATCATGATGTATATTTTATTATATATTCTAATGAATTTTTTTTTTCTTGATGATACAACATTTAATTTGTCTGTGAAAATTGATTTGGGATTTCAATTCAAATGGAATATATAGTCATTTATCCTAATTAAAAAAATATGAGAATTTCTTTTCTACTTAGCATTGTACATACTGACAAAATTTTCAAGAACACATTTAGTAGTTACAGGAAATTAGATGCTAATCTCAGGAGTAATATTAGCAATAGAGATGAAGATTTCCCGTACTTTCCAGAAATACATAATGTATTTCTCTCTTAATGCTTACTTTTTTTTTAACTTGAAGACAATAATAGAAGATATCCTGAAAATGACTCATATTATGGTTTTATCTTCAGTATTATAAAAATCTATCTTTAAAATATTTTTAAATCTGTAGGCTAGATATCAATACATCTTCCTTTTTAACATAAATAGAAGGGCCAGCCAAACAGCTCAGGAGAGTAAAGTGCCTGCAAGCAGGTGCAGGGGCCAGGGGTTCGATCCCTGGGCCTACTGTGCCAGCCCCGCCCTCAGGGTACACTGAGAAGGCAAGTGAGACTGGGGGTGGTGGTGTATACCTGTAATCCCAGCTCTTGGGAGGCTGTAAACAGGAGAATCACTATGAGTCTGAGCTAGTAGTGAGACCCTGAGCATCCTGCAGATCCTTCCCTAAAATACAAAATAATAATAATAATAATAATAATAATAACAACAAAGACACAAAGCATAAATTGAGAATGATCTGAGGCAATGAAATGAAATTTTCAGGACAGACTCTTTTTATCAAAGTGTTTATTGATGTTCAAATAACAAAACTAGATTATGTACATACTCTAGAATGTTTGGTAAGATGCTTTTTAAATTTTTATTAACATAATAACAGAAATTTTATTAACATATAGTGATTGTGCATATTAATGTCCTCCAGTGTGACCCTTCCATGATGCACACAGTGTGCATGGATGATTAAATCTAACGTTTGATTCAAATCTTTCCAAGTATCAGGCAGGAGAATTGTTAGCCTATTGGAGAAACAATCACATTTAAATGAACACAAAATATTGAGTTGTTGAATCTGACTGTATGGCTCAGAAAAATTGAGCCATTATTAGGAATAACTTTTTTAAAAAAATTACTAAGGAATCATAACTACAAAACTCAGAGAAACATTAAAAGACCATGCTTGGCCACTAAATCCTTGGCCAAAAGGACAGGGGGCTATACACAGGGCTCATGAAGAAAGGGACTGAGATGCGGCTGTCTCCACCCATCACCATCAATGATGGAGTATTTTGGAGATCTCTTCAAAGATCTTGGGGACCACAGAATGCTAATTTCTAGAGAGTTCTGAAGAATCTTCATATCTAGTGGCCATGACCCTGTGAGTAGAGGCACTTCTTGTCATCTCTGTCTTTCTCATCTATTACTGCTTACCAGTGCTCTGCCAACTAATGTGGAACCATGTATGGAAAGAGATTCTGGAATGCTTTGCTCCTGCTTTGAAAGGCAGTGGGGAGAATGATGGGCAATGAACACGCTAAGGAAAGTGCTTTATCCATAGATCTTGACGTAGACACATAGTCAAGTTGCAAAAACATGGTTGTTGAAATTAGAATAAGGTTGATTTTCTATCTTAGATATTAGACAATTAGAAAAATAGCATTGCTGATTAGGTTATACTCATTTTACTAATAAGCATAGAAAAATAGTAGTTAAAAATCATTGTGATAATGTTATAATTTCTGTTATTTACTATGCATGAAGCTAGAATGAAGGACTTTTTGTAATCTATCAAATTAAACTAGTAGCTTTAGCTATCATCTTGTCTTTAAAGTAGTTCTTAAACATTTTTAATGAATTGTACAAGGTCAAAGAGCTAATGAGTTATGAAACTTGGCTACACATTAAAACTTTCAAGGATTAATTCAGATTCATACATCTTTCAAATAACTTTGACTGCTACCAAAATTTAACATACAATTATAATTTTTGGGGGGCTAGTATAAGGAAAGTCATTATATATATATAATGAAGAAATTGGAGTAGAGAGAGTTACTCTACATCCTTCGGGTAGAGTAATTCTCTCTACTCCAATTTCTTCTTTAAAATGTTCTTACTCTGATGATGATTTTTGTAATAATTTTGAAAGCTACAGAAAATACTAATTACTAAGTTACAATCCCCATATTCTAAGCAATCAATGTTGTTAACCATAGTCTAACACATATGTAGGCCAATTTGAAGCAGTTTATGCAAATAAAATTTTTTCTGACATTTATTTTTAAAATTTGAAGCAAACCATTAGATCTTTAGAAACATTTTTAAAAAGAAGGTAATGATTTTCAAATAGCTTAAAGATTTTAAATTTAAATGGTTATATATAGATCTTAGAATGTTTTTCAATACAATATTATTTTACCTGCAAAATTATCCCACAAGGAATATAAACATGTGTTTCTAACTACACTTATTACGTTAAAAACTTGGCAAATGAAAACCATGAAAAAAAATTCCTTAAAACCATAGCCTAATTGGCTGAACGTATGTCTCTCGGGTCAGAAAAAGCAGCTGTGCATTTACATTAAGCCAAAATATGAGGCAAGAGAAAGAGATAACAGCAAATAAGTCTGTCATTTTTGGTTGAATACAATTAGAACTCTTGATGTTTCCTCTTCCTCCTTCATCCGTCACTGCGCCTCGTCCTCTGTCGATGAGAGATGATGATGTGTCATCGTTGTGTCTTGGTCCTGTTTCTGTTGCTTGCCCTGCTCGTACTTCTTTGCCAGTGTCTGCTTGTGTCCTGGGCAACGTGATCCTGCCACGTGGAGAGCGGGTTTGTGTCTCTCACACACCTCCCTCTGCTCCACAGGGTCTACTTTCAGCCTTTTCTACTTCATAATTCTTTTTCTTCCCTTCCTCCCTCCCACCCTTTCTCCCTCCCTTCTTTCCATCTTACTGTGTTGTGTTACTGTCCAACTTTCACACTTGTCATCACAATCATTAGTAAAATCTTTAAATTGGGTCCCTGTGTTACTTCTCTAGCTTCTTGTTGTTGTCCTTACAAGCTTTCTGTACTGGATCTTCTTCCTTGATCAACTCCTGCTCTGCTAGAAAAACAAAGCAAAACAACAAAACCAAAACACCACTTAGTTACTTCTGTCAGGGGCTGGCTTTTGAGTCCTGCCCTGCAGTCCTGCCCTGCAAGTGCCTCTAATTGTTGTTTCTCTTTGCTCACTTCCCCTTCTGTTTAGCTGAAAGTAGGTGATTCCACAGTAGTTCAGCTACCACAGCAGCACTTTCAAAACAAACACATTTGTTTTAGTTGCCTGCTTTCTTTTATACATTGTAATCTTTTGAAAAGATTTATTTCTTTATTTGATATAGGGTCTCAACACGCAGCTCAGACTCACAGTGATGCTCCCGTTTTATTTCCCCAGTGCTGGGATTACAGGTGTACACCACCATGCCCGGCTCAGCACATGACCAGCATAGCATGGGATACCAGGGATTGAACCCAGCAGGCAGGAGCTTATACTGTTGAACTATCTCCCTTGTCCTATAGTCTTTGTAGTCTTTCAGAGAAAAGGATAGCATGTATTTCTCTTAGTGTTTGAAATTAACTCCTACAAGAGAGTTAAAATAATTTTTGTCAGCTGGATATTTAAAACTTGTAATTAACTTAATCAGAGTTACCTTACCTCCTTACATAAATACCTTAAAACTGCAATAGGACACAATCATTAATACTTAAGTTAAAGTTGGAAGGCAGGTGGGGAAATGTATAAAAGATCCACTGAATCTATGTACAGCAGCAATCAATTCATAGTAAAATAAATTGAGACTCTAATAAAAGTATTTTTCTAAATATATTCATTAAGAAGATAACTTGTATTGGCAGTGTTCAAACTGTGAAGACAAAATGCACACATGTGGTATGTGTACATCTATTACTTATGTACAGATTTTATGAGTACCATTTTATTAGATGCCATAAATATTTTATAAAATGCTTCAAAAGACATAATAATATTAAGTAAAATGCTTATGAATCAAATTCATTAGGACCTTATAGCAAGCTGTTGGTGCACTTCAGTGATGCACCATTTGCCCAACATGCAAAAACCCTTAGTTTGAAAACCAACACTGAAAGAAAAATCCTGCTACAAAACAATTAATATCCTCACCTAAAAATTGAAACTTGTAGGTTTCTTTTCTTAAAAAAATATTGAGTGCTTGTTTCAGTAGCACATTATACTATAATGGGAATGATACAGAGAAGATTAGCATGGCCCCTGCACAAGAATGACACTCAAATTCATGAAGCATTCCTTATTTTTCAAAAAAAAATAATAAAAAAGAAAATATTGAATTAAGTTCCAATTTATAAAAAGATAAATTTAGGTAAAAAACATAAATTTAGGAAAAGAACAAACCTCGCAGACATATAAATCTCTGGCTGGGTGAAAATTACCTGGAGCACCCTTTTGACATGGTTTGGGCTCAGGAATGAGACTGTCTCTAATGAAGATTGGTTTATGTAGGAGAACAGCCAGTAACAACCAAATGTTAGTTATAAAATATCTTGCTGAAATTATCACAGTCCCACTGAGGTCAAAGTAACAAATTTTTTGTCTTTACATTGTATCAGATGATGTTTTGATAAATGTACACCTTGTAAAATGATTACCACACTGAAGCTGTTTGCATATCCCTGAACTCAGACACTTGTCTTTTGTGGATGCAATAAGACCATCCAAGGTTCTCTTTTAAGCACCCTATAGTTAAACAACACAATACTAACTATAATCACCATGCTATAAAATAGATCTCAAAAATTTATTCACCCTATAAAATGGTATAAGTGAAACTTTATACCTTTGACTAACGTCCATGCAATCGCCCACCTCCCAGACCTTGGAAACCACTGGTGTGTTTTCTGCTTGTACGAACTCCACAGTTTTAGATTCTGCTAAGTGGCACTGTGCATTTTTCTTTCTGTTCATGCTTCAGTGTACTGTCCTCTGGGTTTCAAGTTTCATCACATCACAATGACGCAAGTTCCTTTCTTTAACATCTTTCTATCTAGTCTATATGTTACTTATATATAAATATTCAAATTTTCTTTATGCATCCTTAAATTAATTTATCTTAGCAGTTTTAAATACAGTAACACTTCAATAACCATGGCAACTGAAGGGCACACTTCTCTTGGATGTGCTGGCTTCATTTTCACTGGCTACGCAGCACCAAAAGGGGTTTCTGCATCATACGGTAATTCTATGATGAACTCCTTGAGGAGTCGTCTTGCTGTTTCCCAAAAAAGTTGTACTAATATAAAATGCCATCAGTTTTCTACGTGTTGCATTCTCTTTATATTCTCAACATCATACTTGTTATCTTTTACACGATGATCATTTCAGCAAATATTAAGTGGTATCTTACAGCAGTTTTGATTTGGATCTCCTTGATAATTACTGATGTTGGTTGTTTATTCCAATACCTGTTGTTATTTGTCCTGCTTTCAGAAATATATAAGCAGGTCTTTTGAAAGTTTCCTAAAATTCAGTTAGTTCTTTTCGTCTATTGAATTCATTCTGTATTTTAAAAAAATAATATTGTATTCATCTATTATTTTCAAATCTCACATGAGTTTCTAATTTTGTGGGGGTTTTTACATGCTGTGAGAGAGCTGTCAGTGTATATGCTTCTGCATACGGGTGTGCAGTTTTCCCAACAGCCTCCATTGAAGAGACCATCTTCCTCACTGTGCATTTTTAACATCTTCGCCAAAGTGCATGGATTTCAGTGCTCGCTAGTCTGTTTTGCTTGTTTGAGGACCAGGGTCATGTCTTTACTACTATAGCTTTGTTTTGAAATAAGTTTATGTGATGTCCCTGGTTTATTCTTTTTTCCTCAAGATTTCTTTGGCTAGTCTAAATTTTTCATTACTTTAAGAAATTTAGAATTTTTTCTGATATTTCTGTGAAAGATATCAATGTCATTTCAAAGGAATTTCATTCAATTTGTACATCTCTTTGGGTAATAAGGATATTTTAACAATATGGATTCAGTCAATTCATAGACATGAAGTATTTTGTAACTTATATGTGCCTTCAAAATCTTCCTTATATGTTATATACTTTCACTGTAGAAATCTTTCATCTTCTTGTTTCACTACATTATGCTCAATGCATTGTTATATAATTATTATTTTAATGTTATTTTAAATAAGATCAGCTTGAGTTTTGTTTTAGATCTTTTGTTACTAGCATATTGAAATCCTACTGATTATTTATGTTGATTTGTATAGGTGTATCTCAAAAAGTTTCTTGGTAGATTTTTTGGAGCTTTCTGTGTATGAGAGTATGTCATATTTGAATATAAATGTATTTCTATGAAAAAATTCA